TCAATCCTTCAAAATCCTCTGGTAGTTCCTCTCATTATGTCGAGGTATTGTGAATGGCATTCTGGAGCAGCATGGAGAATTATGTATGGATGTACATGTATGCATTTGCTGAACATAAACAACACAAGGTCTAACCCACAACCTTGAGACAATGCGTCTTGCATCCATGTAGCAAATAGCAATGCAATTTTGCCATGCAGCGCATTTTACATGCATCTGTCAACTCTGAATAACGACAAATTTCACATTCATACATGTCCTTAAATTGTACTTAAATTGCAGAAACCTGGTATTCATGTGTTCTGCCAGTAAAGGAGTGCTTACATAAAGATGAATTCAGTACTGAACTCCACATTACTGCAAGGACCAAAATATAACTGCAGTCCCATCAGCAGAGTATCAACAAGTTCAAAGTACAAGTATTGCAGACATTTGCACAATTGAATCCTGACTACATGACAGTACCTGTACATGAATGTTGAAGCCAACGCAGGAAAAAATCTGCTGAAAAACACACTATGAAGTCATAGTTATTTTTAGTCTGCGTATTCTAAAGAGAGGTTTGTCTCTTTTTTTTCCACATTGCAGGTGGCAATAAAGATCATTGATAAAACCCAGCTAAATCCAAGTAGTCTTCAAAAGGTAAGAAATCTTGTCGATCTGTTTGATACTCACTTTGCCTAATACGTGGAAATCTAGTCAGTTTACTTGAATTTGTCATTTGAACACGTTTTCAAGCAATGTGATACGTAGGCACATCTTTTGGAAGGTGGCACTGAATTCACACCTCTGTATTGAATTTGCAAAGAGCAGGCAGTGGTCTGTTCATTCTTGTTTCGCTGAAGCAAATTTTTGAAACTTGTATTTATTTCAGTTTTGTCAATAAATTTTGTTATGTGAATTTCTGCAAATGTAGTGTATGAGTACTTGTCTGTGCATGTGGAAGTGGGCTGAATCTAGGGTTTGTCTTACTAAGATTGATTTTTAGAGTTTATTGACTTGAACTGATTCTATTTTTTGTTGTTTTATTTGTTTGTATTTGAGAGTTCTTGGCAAGTTACATGTATTGACTTTGTACATGTATGTACTGTATTTTGGCACCTTTACTCAAACCTGTAGGGTGTATGTAACATCATATTGAAATTGGAGGGTTGAGGACTGTTAGGTAAATAAATTTTGTTTATTGTAATAGTTTGAGTATTACGTATGAAACCTGTATCAAGGAACATGTGGTGGTCCAAGCCCATCATTGCTCATTATCACTGCTGATTGTATCTCTGAGTGTGTGTCCACCTTAATCTGGTATCTTGAAGACTTAGGTGATTCAGAGTCTTGTCTTGGATGCAGTTCAGCCTGCCATGTTCTCTCTTAGGTACTGTAGATGGCATCTCACGCTGCATGCATTGCCTCATCATTGATGATCATAGCCCCAAGGAGATAGCCAGCCATCACCCTCCTTAATGGCCGTGGCTGCTCTGCCGGTTCTCTCCCTCTGTCTCGCACAGGGAGATGGGATTATACCCTTGAACAGGCCAGAACTGTAGGAATTTATCACATGAGTGGCGGCAATAATTTCATTGGTCTGTTGACATCCCAAAGTGCTCATACGTGTGATGACAGATTCTCCCATGTCAGCATGTACTGTCTGGCTGGTAATTCCCATCAGAGTGGTACCCTACTGCACCACTGAAAATGCCAAGCACCTGGCAGGCATCAAAGGGAACCAGTCTATATTGGAATGAGATAATGTTAGACACACTGTTCCCCAGGGCACACTGTGAATACAGTTATGCATGCACATATGCCAGCACTGTGGTATATGTACATGTATTTCTGTTGTGCATTCTTGGTGGAACCTGGGTTCCATACCGCTTTTTAGTATCAATTCCTGTGTTGATGCATGCACGGTAATGGCATGTTGTTCCAAATTACCCTATTCATTGCTTTATCTGAACCCAAATGAAAGAATTCTGTCTTTCTTTTAATGACATTTTTCCATTACTGTTCGGGTGAATTATGAAAGAGCAATCTGATTTGCAGTAAGTGTTGATTTTCCAGGCAAAGCACATTGACATACATATACATGTATATCAAGTTACATGTGTAAGAAATTATGCTTGAATATGAACGTCGCACCGGGAATCTGTGGAGACTTCAACGCCTGCAGGTTCCATTTATCCACTATAGTTTCCATTTATCCACTGTGGGGTACTGGCAGTTTCCATTTATCCACTGTGGGGTACTGGCAGTTTCCATTTATCCACTACAGGGTATTGGCAGGTTCCATTTATCCACTACAGTTTCCATTTATCCGATGTGGGGTACTGGCAGTTTCCATTTATCCACTAAAGGGTATTGGCAGTTTTCATTTATCCACGAAAGGGTACCAGTAGAATAGAATGTCATGATAGATACATGTATTCTTACTCATGTTACATGTACATATACCGGTACTGTATGCAGTATATGAGACGTATAGGCCTACATGCACCATTGATACAGCTGCATGCCAGCGTCGATGGTTTTCCAAATTACTTCTTAAATAACGAAGACTGGATGATACTCAAAGTTTTTCGTGTTGGTTGTGAGCAGCTTTTGATCCATTCCCACATACATGTACATGTACCGGTACAGTACCGGATACATAGATGTAAGTGCGCATGTTGTGGACTTTTCCCCAGATTCCAGGATTTGGGACTCAAGAATATACAGTTGTGGATTTTTACAGGTGTTGCTACTTCTTGCCCACTCTACAGTCAAAATATTTGATTGTTGTCATTGCTACAACGTCTGTGTTGGATGTTTGATTGCATTTGGGGTTTTCTGGTTTCCTGAACCCCATCCCACCCTCAAAGAGAAGTGCTGATGTGTACTTGAATCCTAGCTTTCTCTTGTGACCTGTAGTTCAGCCAACAGGAGAAGGTCCATGTAGCAGCCATGGTTTACAGTATAAGCTTCATCATTTCAACAACAGTTGTATCACTCAGGGTGCTGTGAACTGCATGTAATTCAAGCCCCATTGAAAGCTGTTTAAAAACGACATAATTCAGGGCTCGATAACATGCAAGCCAACATCGCTGAGGTTTCTCAAATAAGTATGAAGTTATTGTCTTAACCTTAATCTTTCCATTTCTTTTAATATTTGATGAATTAGCCAATTACATTTTAATGTCAAATTATTCAAAATATCGCCCCCCAAAAAAAGTGAGGGATCCCAAGCCCACTCGCAGCCGTTTTTCAAATGGCATCCCTCAACTTTCTCAGGCAATCAGACCATTTTCCAACCATATCTTTCACAATTCTGCCATTACATGGAAGAGCCCCATAACCCAGGAGGGTGATCCTGACAAATCTCACCATTTTGGAGGCCTAATACTCTCTTTTTTCTAAAGAAACTGTACAGGCACTATTCATGCAAATGAGCTGGACAGAAATTATCACTTGAATTAGTTCACTGCACCCCTCAGCGTACAGAGGATTTTCCGTCACGTGAATTTTGACGGTCAGCATTCAATTTACACAGTTGTGCGCGGAAATGCGTGTGCCTTCGAAGTCTCTCAACATTCTGGGGCACATGAAACGGCCAATAGAAATATCCAGATTCAAAAATGCACGCACCTCCAAGGACATGGTACACTTCCAGAAATGCCTTTGCCCGTCATGTTACGTCACATGAAGAACCTCCATTGCCTACGGTTGGTCATGTCATAGGTTATCGATAAATATTCATACTATCGCAGTGTTATGGTACATACGGTACTCAGTAGGCAGCGTGGATCGAAAGACTTTGCAGTGACCTTTAACCTCAGTTTGATGCTCAGTTTTTATTCTTGGTGACTTTCATGCAAGCCCAAAATATGTACGGTATTTCACTGCGGATTAACCAATGGTGAGCCAGTAATTATCAGTCATGTGTGACCATTTATTGAAATCAGAAAAAATACCAAAATAACAACATTAGTGGAACAAAAGTGATGTTCATTTTCCCACTTGAAGACTTGATGCATATAGCGCTGATGTGTATACACACCTGCTAAGCACTGTACATACATGTACATGTAACATTTGTAAGTTAGTCACATACAAGGTATATCTTGTATAGTGATTTATGGCATGTGCCTAATAGGGCACACACACCCATACAGATATATGTTGCACAGGAAATAAATGCATATCTCTGCTGAAACTTTGATCACTAGGGAGAAATTAACTGTTAAGCTTTTTTGGCCATACCATTTTGCCACTACCCCTGGTATTGTTGATTTATTGTGCTTTCACCCGTATTTTTATACAATGATGAAAGATGATGAAGTGGTCAAGTGGTGTGACTTAATAAAACTGCCAGTAGAGTTTGCAGGTGGCAAGTTCAAATGTTCTGCTGCAATGCTGAAATGGTCCACAGCCGTCCTCGTAGAAGAGATGTCTGTCTGGCTGGCCTGTGATGTGGAGAGGCTCGGTGTGGTGGTCTTGTGCATTTGGAAATGTCAACCTACCAGTATGGAGTGAATAAGAAAAGAGAAACTCATGCGCTGTCGCTGTCCATTTTGAAATTCAAGTATGGAAGTCAGCCAAGCTCAACACTTGATCTTATCCATGTTTACATGTACCTGGGCCTCGGCAAGTGGTTGATGTGGTGTACACCGGCAGTGTGAACAGTATGCCTGGGCTGCTCTTGCTTGGCAAATAAAAGGAAATGGGGCAAATTTAACCGAATTCCATGAAACAAGTCTAACAGACATTTGTCACTGGATTGCCACATAAGTGTTTTCAGTTTGCACTGGAAAGAGCATTTGACGTTCTGAGCATTTCATATTGATATATTACTTAGGTTGTGACATCTTGATGAAAGTGGACATTACGTGGGTAAAAAGTTGGCAGTGCGTATTGATTTCCCTTAAGCAAGATTAATTTTAAGGCCGGTCAACTCAAAAGTAGGGCTGGTAAATTGCAAATCATTTTGTTAGGCTAGACCACTTATGTGAAGATGTATTGGGATGTCAGAGGATATTAAAATGCAGGAATTCAACCATCACAACCAGTGATTCAAGCTTAAGAGTGTACAAATAACACTTTCTACTTAAGCCTGACAAGCTTGAAGGAGCAGCCATATTAATTACAAATAGTTTACACACATTGCACCTGCCATAAGTTGTTTGAAAAACGGTGACTTTTCCAGATCACTCTGTATACTCTTTACAAATTCTGTGTCCTTAAACTTAAGAAACCTAAGGGGGGAAAACTTACATAAATCACTTTCTTTTTGTTTCTGTAATTTTTGTAATGTAAAAATAAATTGTATATTCAAATCTGGCTTGTAGTTATCTTTTAATTGCTTACTTGCTGTCAAGGGATCATATATGACTTGTAGCAGGTTTTCTGCCATCTGTGCTATGCTATGTACTCCAGGTTTGTGGCAAAAAGTGACATACAGTAAATGAGAACAGTTACATGTTTATGAGGGCCTAGGTCCAAACTTGTGCTGCATTTTCTTTTCCATAGGGAAGATTCCAGAACAGCAGTGGTAGATATACATGTACATGCACTGGTGGTGGCGAGAGTAAAAGCTGACTGGGGGCGTGTTGGTTGGTGAACATGCACCCAAATGATCTGAGGATTACCGGAGGGGCTGACAGTGCCCAAGC